ATCTGCCAGTCCTCAGCCAATTGGACTATCTGATCAAGATCCCATTGTACTCTGAAGTAACCTTATTCGCTGTCCAATACACTTCCAATTTTAGATAACAAGGTATAGAGCTGGATGAATACAGCAGGCCAAGCAGCATCAGAGGAGCAGGAAAGCTGACGGTTCGGGTTGAGACCCTTCTTCAGAAATGGGGGAGGGGAAGGGGATTCTGAAATAAATAGGGAGAGAGGGGGAGGTGGATAGAAGATGGATAAAGGAGAAGATAAGTGGAGAGGAGACAGACAGGTCAAAGAGACGGGGTTGGAGCCAATAAAGATGAACTCGTCCTCACCCTTAACAATTTCTCCTTCAATTCCTCCCACTTCCTACAGACAAAGGGGGTGGCCATGGGTACCCACATGGGCCCAAGCTATGCCTGCCTCTTTGTAGGATACGTGGAACAATCCCACTTCCAAAGCTACATTGGCCCTATCCCCCACCTCTTCCTCCATTACATCGATGACTGTATCAGCACCGCCTCATGCTCCCACGAGGAGCTCGAACAGTTCATCCACTTCACCAACACCTTCCACCCCAACCTTAAGTTCACCTGGCCCATCTTTGATACCTCTCTCTCCTTCCTGGACCTCTCTATCTCCATCTCTGGCACCCACCTGGAAACCGATATCCATTTCAAGCCGACCGACTCCCACAGCTACCTAGAATACACCTCCTCTCACCCACCTTCCTGCAAAAAGGCCATCCCCTGTTCCTAATTCCTTTGCCTCCGCCGCATCTGCTCCCGAGATGAGGCATTCCACTCCCGGACATCCCAGATGTCCTCGTTTTTCAAGGACCGCAACTTCCCCTCCACAGTGGTCAAAAACGCCCTCGACCATGTCTCTCGCATTTCCCGCAACTCATCCCTCACACCCTCTCCCCGCAATAACAACCAAAACAGAATCCCCCTCGTCCTCACGTACCACCCCACCAACCTCCGGATCCAACGCATCATCCTCCGACACTTCCGCCATCTGCAATCCGACCCCACCACCAAAGACATTTTTCCCTCCCCACCCTTATCTGCTTTCCGGAGGGACCACTCTCTCCGTGACTCCCTTGTCCGCTCCACACTCCCCTCCAGCCCCACCACACCCGGCACTTTTCCCTGCAACTGCAGCAAGTGCTACACCTGCCCCTACACCTCACCCCTCACCCCCATCCCAGGCCCTAAGAAGACTTTCCACATCAAACAGATGTTCACCTGCACATCTGCCAATCTGGTATACTGTATCCGCTGTTCCCGTTGTGGCCTCCTCTACATCGGGGAAACCAAACGGAGACTTGGGGACCGCTTTGTGGAACACCTACGCTTGGTTCGCAACAAACAACTACACCTCCCAGTCGCGAACCATTTCAACTCCCCCTCCCACTCCTTGGACGACATGTCCATCCTGGGCCTCCTGCATTGCCACAATGATGCCACCCGAAGGCTGCAGGAACAGTAGCTCATATTCCGCTTGGGAACCGTGCACCCAAGGGTATCAATGTGGACTTCACAAGCTTCAAAATCTCCCCTCTCCCAACCGCATCCCAAAAGCAGCCCAGCTCGTCCCCGCTTCCCTAACCATTTCTCCCACCTCAAGCCCCACCCCCATCTCCTACCCACTAACCTCATCCCGCCTCCTTGACCTGTCCGTCCTCCCTGGACCAACCTATCTCCTCCCTAATTCCCCACCTACACTCACCTTTACTGGCTCCATCCCCGCCTCTTTGACCGGTCTGTCTCCTCTCCACCTATCTTCTCCTCTATCCATCTTCTATCTGCCTCCCCCTCTCTCCCTATTTATTTCAGAATCCCCTTCCCCTCCACTATTTCTGAAGCAGGGTCTCAACCCGAAACATCAGCTTTCCTGCTCCTCTGATGCTGCTTGGCCTGCTGTGTTCATCCAGCTCTACACCTTGTTATCTCAGATTCTCCAGCATCGGCAGTTCCTACTATCTCTGTAACACCTCCAATTTTGGTGTCATCTGCAAACTTACTTACTATACCATCTGTGTTCACATGCAAATCATCTATATAAATGATGAAAAGCTGTGGATCCAGCACCAATCCTTACGGCACACCGCTGTTCACAGACCTCCAGTTTGAAAATCAACCCTCTTTCACCATCCTCTGTCTCCTATCTTCAAGCCAGTTCTGCATCCAACTAGCTATTCCGTGTGATCTAACCTTGCTAACCAGTCTGCCATGAGGAACCTTGTCCAACACCTTACTGAAGTCCATATAGATCACGTCCACCACTCTGCCCTCATCAATTCTCTTCATTACTTCTTCAAAAAACTCAATCAAGTTAGTGAGACATGATTTCCCATGACAAAGCCATGTTGACTGTCCTTAATCAGTCTTTGCCTTCCCAAATACATGTAAAACCTGCCCCTCAGGTTTCCCTCCAACAACTTACCCACCACCGATGTAAGGCTTACCGGTCTATAGTTCTCTGGCTTTTCTTTACCACCTTTCTTAAACAGTAGCACCAGATTAGCCAACCTTCAGTCTTCCGGCACTTTGCTGGAATAATTCTTGTTTCGGTGAGCTACTCCAATAGGTCACACAGGGTGCCCCAAACTTTGATACGTCCCTCAGCGTATACCCCTGGACCTTGAATTGCACCAGTCTGCAACACTCAGTCAACAAGAATTCCTTGCACTGGTCCTGGGGATTCCAAACATCGTCTTTCACCGAGTTGATTGTCCTCCAGCTGCAGTTGATGTTTGACTTGGTGTGTCCCCCAAGGAACAAGCCGCAGACCGCAGCCTCCATCATCTTCTGCACTCTGCCCCCAAGGGGCTATGCTGAGCAAGAGACTTGTGCACATCTTTGTGAAATGTGCTTTTGTAAAGAAGGTTGAGGAGGAATGCAGTGGTTTTTTTCTGAAGCGCATCGTGAGCAGCTATGTAATGCTGACCTCTGCTGTATCTCATCACGATTCTACAGTAACCCGTGGGACATCAATACCGGGGATTCAACTATGGTAATGTCACAAGCTAGTGGTCACATTCTTTCTTGTTGGGAATAGTTATTGCAGACGTGCAGCACCAGTGTTCCTTGGCACTTTACAGAACTGATCAGTGAGAAGGCAGCATGTTCAGGGAGAGGAAAGAGAGGTTGCGAAAGAGGTGGTAATTTGCATGGATGGAATCTGAAGTGGGCAGGACGTGAACTTTACATTCTTGGTGAACGTAAACATCGGTGCATTTAGGAGCGTGGCCGTGCTGAATGGAACCTGTTGTGTGTGTAATGTGCATATGTGAGCCAAAAGGCCTCTGGCAGGAGCAGTGAGGGGCTGAGACTGAGAAGCAGCATTCAGACAGCTGGCTTCCTGTGAGCCAGGAATGTGGAATTGGCAAGCAATGAATGTGAGTGGGAGTGGGACTGGGAATGGGAATGGGAGTGGGAGGCGTCCGAGGCCCATAGCCGGGGTTGGGGCTGGACAGGGTCGCGCTGCATCACATTTTAATTCGGCTCCGACTAGTTTAAACGGATGCTGAGGTCCGGCAGCAGCTGGAAACAGAATCTGGCCAAAGCGGAGTTAGAAGCGGACAGTGTCGGGGGCCAGAGGCCGCGGCCCGGGCGAGGGGCCGGGGGAGGTCCGGGGAGGTGGAGCGCTGCTGGGGAAGCCGCTGGAATGGACGAGACAATCCGGATTCTGGAGGATCTAAACCTGATTTATATCCGCCAGATCGCCCTGAGCCTCCAGGTAAAAAAAAGGATCTTCCGAGGATACCTCGATCGTTGGCCTGGCTCCTCTTGTAGTTGTTGTTGATATTGAACTTGATGGTGAAATTCCAAATGTCCCCAGTCCTGGGAAATGAGGATTGGGGCTGAAACCAGGACTGGGATCAAGTGAAAGCCAGCGAGCCAATATAGCGACCTGGGACAGACACCTGGAATTGGGTTTGGGGACAAGGACAGGGACATGGAATGGGATCAGGGAAGAGGGACATGGATCAGGAATGAGGTCAGAGACGAGGAACGGGAATGGGGACAGTGTCAGGGAACAAGGACAGAGACTGGGGACAAGGAAGAAGGACAGGGAATAGGGAACACAAACACAGGGAACCGGAAAAGGGAGTACTCAGGGACAGAGACCAAGGACAGTGGTAGGCAAGTTATTGGAGAGAATACTGAGGGACAGAATCAACCAGTATTTGATAGTCAGGGTCTGATCTGTGTGCGGGAAACCATGTCTGACAAATCTTTTAAAGCTTTTCGAAGAGGTAACCAAGAGGATGGATGAGGGTAGGGCAGTGGATGTTGTCTATATGGAGTTTAGTAAGGCCTTTGACAAGGTACTGCATGGCAGGCTAATCATGAAGGTAAGGTTGTGTGGGATCCAGGGAGAGCTAGCCAATTGGATTCAAAATTGGCTTGATGGTAGGAAACAGAGGGTGATGGTTGAAGGTTATTTCTCGGACTGGAGGCCTGTGACCAGTGGTGTGTCACAGGGTCAGTGCTGGGACCTTTGTTATTTGTTATTTCTATAAATGATCTGGATGTGAAGGTACAAGGCATGATTAATAAGTTTGCAGATGATACAAAATTAAGGAGTTATCATTGATAGCGAGGAAGGTTATCAAAAATTACAGAAGGATCTTGATCAGATGGGCTGAGGATTGAAAATGCAATTCAATACAGATAAGTGTGAGGTGTTGCACTTTGGAAAGTCAAACCAAGGTAGGACTTATACAGTAAATGGTAAGGTCCTGAGAAGTGGTGTGGAACAGAGGGACTGAGCAGTACAAGTAAATAGTTCATTGAAAGCAGCGTCACAGGTGGGCAGGGTGGTGAAGAAGGCATTTAGCATGCTGGCCTTCATCGGTCAAGGCATTGAGTATAGGAGTTGGGACGTTATGTTATGTGAGTTGTTGGTGAGGCCGCACTTGGAGTATTGTATACAGTTTTGGTCACCCTGTTAAACTGGAAAGTGTGCAAGGAAGATTTACGAGGATGTTGCCAGGACTAGTAGGCCTGAGTTACAGGGAGAGGTTGGCCAGGATAGGACTTTATTCCTTGGAATGTAGGAGAATGAGGGGTGACCTTATTGAGGTGTGTAAAATCATGAGGGGCATAGATAGAATTAACGCATACAGACTTTTTCCCAGGGATGGGGAAATGAAAACTGGAGGGCATAAGTTTAAGGTGAAAGGGGAGAGATTTAAGAAGGACCTGAGGGGCAACTTCTTCATGTGGAGAGTGGTGTGTATATGGAATAGGCTGCCAGAGAAAGTGGTTGAGGCAGGTACAATAGCAACATTTAAAAAACATTTGGATAGGTACATGGATGGGAAGAGTTTACAGGGATATGGACCAAATGCAGACAATTAGAACTACCTGAGTTGGCACCATGGTCAGCATGGACCAGTTTGGGCCGAAGAGCCTACTTCCATGCTATATTACTCTATGACTGTATGTCTGTATCACAGGGACAGGGACAGAGACCAGGAACGGGGACAGGAACAGCGAACGGGTACAGGGCCAGAGAATGAGGACAGAGACAGGGAACAGGGAACTTGGACAGAGGCTGAGAACGGGGGTAGAGACCGAAAATGAGGACAGAGACTGGGAACATAAGAACATAAGAACTAGGAGCAGGAGTAGGCCATCTGGCCCCTCGAGCCTGCCCCGCCATTTAATAAGATCATGGCTGATCTTTTTGAGGCTCAGCTCCACTTACCCGCCCACTCACCGTAACCTTTAATTCCTTTACTGTTCAAAAATTTATCTGGCGTTGCCTTAAAAACATTCAGCGAGGTAGCTTCAACCGCTTCACTGGGCAGGGAATTCCTCAGATTCACAACCCTTTGGGTGAAGAAGTTCCTCCTGACCGCAGTCCTACATCTGCTTCCGTTTATTTTGAGGCGATGCCCTCTAGTCCTAGTTTCACCTGCTAGCGGAAACAACCTCCCTGCCTCCACCTTATCTATTCCCTTTATAATCTTATATGTTTCTATAAGATCTCCCCTCACTCTTCTGAATTCCAATGAGTATAATCCCAGTCTACTCAGTCTCTCCTCATAATCCAACCCTCTCAACTCTGGAATCAACCAAGTCAATCTCCTCTGCACCCCCTCCAGTGCTAGTATATCCCTTCTCAAGTGAGGAGACCAAAACTGCACACAGTACTCCAGGTGTGGCCTCACCAGGACCCTATACAGCTGCAGCATAGCCTCCCTGTTTTTAAACTCCATCCCTTGAGCAATGACAGACAAAATTCCATTTGTCTTTTTAATTACCTGCTGCATCTGCAATCCTACTTTTAGCGATTCATGCACAAGGACACCCAAGTCCCTCTGCACAGCAGCGTGCTGCAATTTTTTACCATTTAAAACGTAGTCCATTTTGCTGTTATTCCTACCAAAATGGATGACCTCACACTTACCAGCATTGTACTCCATGGAATGGGGATGGGGAACAGGGACAGGGAACAGGGAAGGGGAGCAGGGACAGGGAATGGGGGCTGGGAACAGGGACAGTGAATGAGGACTGGAAACAGGGACAGAGACCAGGAATAGGGAACAGGGACAGAGATCAGGAATGGGGACAGGGAACAGGCACTGGGACAGGGAAGGGGGACAGAGACCGGGGACAGGGACAGGAAAAGGGGACAGGGACAGGGAGCGGGGACATGGGCCAGGAACAGGGACAGGCACAGGGCACTGGACAGAGATGGGGAATGGGGACAGGGACATGGAAAGGGAACAGGAACAGGGAACAGAGACAGGGAACAGGAACGCGGAATGGTGACAGAGACTGGGGACAGGGACGTGGAACAGGAACAGGGAATGGGGACAGGGAATGGGTACAGAGACCGAGAACAGGGAACAGGGACAGAGAAAGAGAAGGGGATCAGGGAACAGGAACAGGGAACAGAGACAGGCAACAGCGACTGGGAGCGAGGATGGGGAATAGTAACAGGGACAGAGATTGCATTCGGGGATCGGGGACTGGGGTCAGGGATCAGGAACAGAGACTGCATCCAGGGACCGGGGACTAGGGACTGGGGACAGGGAATAGGAACAGGGAATGGGGGACAGAGACTGCGTTCGGGTATCAGGGACTGGGGACCAGGGAACAGGGAATAGGAAAAGGGAACAGGGAATGGGGGACAGAGATGCATTCGGGGATTGGGGTCCGGGGACAGGGACCGGGAACAGGGAATGGGGGACAGAGACTGCGTTCGGGGATCAGGGACTGGGGACCAGGGACAGGGAATAGGAACAGGGAGCAGGGAATGGGGGACAGAGACGAGGACTGGGAACAGGGACCAGGGACTGGGATTGGGTCTGGGGCCATAAGTATCAGTGATATAGGTAGAAAGAGAAAAGAGGTTCTGCTGATGGAATATGAATGGCTCAGAGCTTTTTAAATAGTAGAACCATAAAGGTACTAATCTCTGGATTATGACCTAAAACACGAGCTAACTGGCACAAGGTTAATAAGATAAAAAGAGATAACTGCTTGTTCAATGATTGGTGTGGGAGAAATCAGTTTGAATTCATTGGACGTTGGCAGCAGTACTGGGGAAGGGGGCAGTGGGGGTGGTGGGATTAGCTGCATAGAAAATTGGAAAATTATAGGTATAGGAGAAGATGACGGTATAGTTTAGTAATGGACTAATTGTGACCAGAAAATAAAAGGAACAGAATATGTGAATGTTGTATTGCACCAAGGAAAATAAAAGTGTCGGGAAATTCGATAATACAACAAGCTGACAGGCTTTGTACCTTAATTCACAAAGCATTTAGAATGAGGTAGACAAAGTGACAGCTCAAGTTGAGGTAAATGAATATGATCTCATAACCGTGGGGAGAAAGCAGAATTAACGATTCAGATCCAGTGACCCTTCTTCAGAACGGAAGATATTGGTAGAAGTAGTGTACAGACTCCCAAACTGTAGCCACTCAGTAGAAAAGGCGATACAGCAAACACATTATTAACCAGCACCTAAGGGATCAGGAGTGTGCCAGTTGATCAAATATTCCAGTTGATCGAGAGATCCACAAAGAACATAGAATTGTCCAGCACAGGAACGGGCCCTTTGGCCCACGATGTTGCCAAATGAAACTAATCCCTTCTGCCTGCCCTTGGTCCATATCCCACCATTCCTTGCATATTCATGTGCTTATCTAAAAGTCTCTTAAATGCCCTTATCGTGTCTTCCTCCACCACCAGCCCTGGCTGTGTGTTTCAGACTCCTACCATTCTCTGTGTTAAAAAAACTTACTTCTCACATCTCCTTTGAACGTTCCCCCTCTCACCTTAATTTTAGACATTTCAACTCTGGGAAAAACAATCTGACTGTCAACCCTATCTATGCATATCATAATTGTATTGAATTCTATCAAATCTCCCCTCAGCCTGTGCTGCTCAAGAGAAAACAACCCAAGTTTTTCTAACCTCTCCTTATAGCTCATACCCTCAAATCCAGGCAGCATCCTGGTAAATCTCTTCTGCACCCTCTCCAAAGCCTCCACATCCTTCCTGCAATGTGGCAACCAGAATTGAACACAATTCTTAAAGTCTTATAAAGCTTCAACATGTCATCCTGACTCTTGTACTCAATTCCCCAATTATTTAAGACAAACATGCCATATGCCTTTTTTACCACCCTATCTACTTGTGTGGCTATTTTCAGGGAGCTATGGACTCAAATCCCAAGATCCCTCTGAACATCAATGCTGTTCAGGGTCCTGCCAT